AAGAAGGTGACTCATTATGTCTAATTTTCATTTTAGACTAATACTCTCTTCCTCCACTTCAACAGACCCTAGCAGTCATGTTAAAGGCAATCATTATACCAGCGTATGATAAGGAGCAGGGTAAAAGCAACAGAAGAGAATGGGAGAAGAGGTTTAGATTACAAAATCGGCGTAAACGTACTACAAAAGCTTGTGCCGAATCAATGCGAGGAAAACTGGTGTAACTTGGAAGTAGTACGTCAGAATGAGATAAAATAAAAGCAGTTTCTAAACTGTAAAAACTTATAAATTTACAGAGAAGTTTGTACCTAACCAATAGCTATGAGTAGTTATCATTACAAAAATTGTTCTGTTTCTGTTGCGAAGTGCATAACTAAGATGATGCATAATGTTTACAAGTACGGTTCCCAAATAAATGAATTGCAGGAGGGCATAAACCCGAAGGAATATGGTACAGTCTATGCAAATAAATTGAGCGGATTATTATGTACAGCATAGAAGTGAAGCATTTATGCGCAAAAATATGTATATCGGTCCATTTAACTATACAGTGAAAGTTTCTTTTTTAAGATAATTTTTAGACTTTTTTTATTTTTCTAAGTTTTTTATTTGTTTATTTATTATTATTTTACATTTTTTACTTTTTTCTTCTTAAAATTTTTTAATAATTAATTTTTTTTAATAATCGATTTTTTGAAGAAATTGTGCAGGGAAAAGTAATATAATGCTCGTAGTTCCTCATTTGGTGTGGGTTACAAGATGACATTAGAGGCCAACCGGTCTAGCGAGTAGATTGCGATGAAATAGATGAAAAATTAGGATAAAAACTGCTGCTGATCCCTTGTAACGAGAGAAAAAGATTAAAAGGATTAGTGGGGGAAAAACAACTACTCCCAGAAGCCGAACCAAATAGAGTAAATATAGCAAAATTGAATAAAAAATTGCGACAAGGAATAAAAATCCACTATTAGCATTACCTATGGATTAGTTCAGTGAAAGAATTCTGTGAACCTCTTGGGCCAGTGAACACGTCGACCAGCACGTGTGACAGGGGTCTTACTGGTGACGGTAGGAGAATCATCCTTCGACACTGAAGGTGAGGTAGTTGAGTCTGAATAAGGACTAGGTTCCGTGGGGCTATTTGATTGAGCCGATGGGGAGGGTGAAGGTTCTTCAGTGTATGCCGCTTTAAGTCTGTCTATGCTGACAATGTCTGGGCGGCCGCATCGCTCAATAACGAAAAATTTATCTTTACGACCAAGGACCTTAAAAGGCCCGTCATACGGTGGTTGTAATGGCTTTCGTATGGCGTCGTGACGCACGAAAACGTGCGTACAGCCATCAAGTCGCCGATCAACCTGAACCTTTCGGTTCTGAGTGCGTGTGGAAACTGGTCGGATTCGCTGCATAAAACTTTTAAGTTGCTGAGCGTAACAGGTGGTATCGGGGAAATTTGGTTCGAAAGCTTCAGTAGCGATTAGCTCGCCTGGTGAACGCAGGGTGGTACCGTACACCAATTCAGCTGGCGAGCACTGCAGATCCCCTTTAAGCGTAGCCCAGATGCTAAGCAGGATCAGTGGCAGCGAATCTGTCCACTTACTGTTGTCTACTGCCATCAACGCGGCTTTCAGTTGACGGTGGAAACGTTCTACTAGCCCATTTACAGCAGGAGGATACGCGGTTGTGCGAATGCGTTTGCATCCCAGCATCTCTAACAATTCCTTGAAGCTTGTGGATTCGAATTGTTGCCCGCGTTCGGTAGTGACAGTTGCGGGACATCCAAAATGGGCAACCCAGCCTTCCATGAAAGCACGACAGATGGTTTGAGCCGTTACATCTTGTATCGGAATGGCTTCCGGCCAACGTGTGAAACGATCCACACATGTGAGTAAATACGAGCAGCCGTTAGACGGGGGCAGGGGCCCTACTATATCCAGGTGTATATGATGGAACCGAGCGTCTGGGGTCGCAAACGTCCCTAACGGCGTGATGTTATGCTTGGTGACTTTAGCACGTTGGCATTGCAGACAAGCACGTGTCCATTGACGCACATCACGGTTCATACCGGGCCACGCAAATCTCGCCGATATCAACTTGTCCGTTGCTCGTGTGCCAGGATGGGAGAGGTTGTGGAGGGACTCAAACACGGTGAGGCGTAAAGACGTGGGAACAATCGGTCGAGTGCCCGTTGACATATCGCAAAGTATAGTTGTTTCACTGTTTAGCAAAGTGACACATTCCATTTTCAGTGAGGTTTTATTTGACAGGTGTTCTAAGTTCAAATCGTTCAGTTGGAGTTCGGCCATTTTATGAAGATCGATGGTTGGTGGTACGGACGTAGCACATACGCGAGACAAAGCGTCTGCTACCGCGTTATCCGATCCAGAAACGTGCTGGATATCGGAAGTGAACTGGGAAATATAGTCTAAATGGCGTGATTCTCGCGGTGAATACCGGTCTGAAGTAGTGTGGAGGGCGTACGTCAATGGCTTATGGTCGGTAAATACCGTAAATTGCCGGCCTTCCACGAAGTGACGAAAGTGCTTGACAGCAGCATAGACAGCGAGAAGTTCCCTACCGAATGTGCTGTATCGAGATTCGCATGCGGTAAGTTTACGTGAAAAGAAAGCAATCGGTAGCCATACATCGGACATACGCTGTTGTAGGACGGCTCCGATCGCAGTATTAGAGGCATCTACGGAAATGCTGATTGGAAGTTGGACATCTAGATGGACCAACATTGTGGTATCAGCAATAGCTTTCTTGATAGCTGCGAAAGCTGTCGAGGCTTCCTTAGTGAACACCAAAGACTTGCATTTCCCTTTAAGCACATCAGTCAAGGGGGTCAAGATGTAAGCGTACTGTGGGATAAAGCGACGGTAGTAACTAACCATCCCGAGAAAAGTGCGTAGTGCCTTGGGAGAAGTGGGTAGAGGGAAGTTTTGAATAGCTTCTACCCGGTCAGGTAACGGATAAATTCCATCTTTGTCTATCCTATGTCCCAAAAATTCAAGGAAGTGACTCCAATCTGACACTTCGGCAAGTTGAGTGTGAGGGAGTGTGTCACAAGTCTTCGGAAAACTGTCTGCAAATGAAGTTGATGAGTGGCTTCATCTGGACTAGCTACCAAAATATCGTCCAGATAGGCAAAGGCGAAATCAAGCCCGCGCAAAACGTCGTGGATAAAACGCTGGAAGGTTTGGGCAGCGTTCCGTAAGCCGAAAGGCATTCGCCGACTGCTGGCACGTGACGATGATCTACTACGAGTTGAGTCTGTGCGGCTACCCGAGCGGCTTCTTGCTCTCATCTCTTGCCTGATACCACATATCTCTTCGTACAGCTTGGTTATATGGGCCACCGTATCGAAGCTGGATGACTGTCCAGTCGAAGGTCGTTTGATCTGAGCGGGCCGATCAGTTGCCGCGGCCGAAATGCTCAGTTTGGATGCAGTAGTCTCTACTACCCTATCGGCCGCTTCGGCTAACTCGGGTAAGGGGGATTTGTGGATTGGGGCTAAAATGCCCTCAATCGCCTGTGGTAATCTTTGCAACCACAGTTGTTTTAGGAATGCATCATCTACATTGAAGTCGGCGACCAACTGTCTCATCTGCCGTAACAACTGGGTGGGCTTCCGGTCGCCAAGGTGAACATCACGAAAGAGTTCCTGCACTTTTTGTTGGTCTGTGAGTGCAACGCGCTTAATTAGCGCTTGCTTCAGCCGTTCATTCAAGTCAGGGGACGGATCCATGAGGACGTCTGAAACCTCTTCCATAACATTTTCAGGGATACTCACAATTACCCAGTTTACTTTCGTTTCTTGTGAGTGTATATGTTTGAGAGTGAACAAAGCTTCTACATCGTTGAACCATGCAACAGGACGATGTGTCCAAAAGGTGGGAAGTTGCAAGGTTATAGCCATTTGCGAAGCACTGTTGTCAGCCATTATGCGGGCAGAAGGATATACTAACGGGGTAATACGACAAATACACGAGAAAAAAACGAATAAAAATTTATAACTGTATGTGAAAAATATATACAAAAAAGGTAGTCAATAAGAAAAAGAACTGTAAACACGTCAAGCTAAAATGGAGGCAAACGATGAATATACGGGCTCACCACTTGTAGGAGCTATTAAGGCTTAGGGTAGACCTCGACTCTAAACACTCTTACAACACTTCTTCACCGTTTTACGACCTTAACTGTACGCTACTCAACGTGCAAATACTGACGAACTGAATCAAGGTAAAAAGACTTGGTATGACAAGTGTATCTAGGACAGTTGTATTTTACACAACGAAATATGAAATTCAATAAATAAAGAGGTTGTACAACTTATCTGCAGACGTCACTGGAGGTAGGCTCGGAGAGTGTGCAGAATGAAAGCACAACGAGGGAGCGAACCAAATGAACGTACGGAAGAGTCACAACTCAAAAGATCAAAGTGTGTCAAACATGGGTCAGCGAGTTTAAACAGAAGTTCAAGGGTAAATGTGCACTACAAGTGAACACTGGATGCAGACCTTAGTGTTTAAGTTGACTTGTTTGGCTGAAGGCTGCCAGTCAAACATCCTCTTCATTTGGTACTCCATCGTGTTACTTTCGAGCACGATAACTAGCCAGCTTAGCTTCCGATTCAGTCCGCGATTCGGTTCCGAAATATACCTCGTAGTTTGGAAAATCAGCTGTGGTCTTTTGCTTCGCCTTTGGTACGCGAGAAACGAATACTATAGAAGTTGTTGGTATAAGATCTTGCGTTAATATACTCGTACAATTCGCGAACGTCTATACCGTCAGCCTCCAAAGAGGTTTCCATCAAAAGTTGTGTCAGAGTGAAGGTAAACAAGACCTAAAGAATGGTTGTTGAAAGCTTCAGTCTATTACAGATGCTAACGAATCTGTCCTGTCAGATATAAGTAAATAAAGAACAGCGAGACATCTAAGACTTCCCCAGAGGTCAAGGCCAGAAAATTTCAGTCGCAGTCAGGAACTTTGAACAACTGGTGGGTGTACTCATTGTATACTACACGAGTACTTACAACATGAAAGCGTTCGATCTTAAAATCAGTATGGATTACCAATGTTTTAGACTTTCATTATCCACTCCTTTTCCTGGTTTGCCTAAGGTTGCTTTGTAAGTTTGTCTAGTGGAACGTCAGCTGCTAATTCTAGCGACAACTTTATTCTGCAGAAATCCAACAGAGAAAAGAAAACGTCCCGCAATATCGAGCAGTGAGCATCAATAAATCAACAAATTTACATGAAACCATCCCGAAAAATCGGATTTTGAGTACTGAGATTACGTCTTTGTATGCATCAATTTGACTGAACTTTCAACTTCCAAAATGTGTTGTTTTTGAATTTCTACTAATGAGCACACTTACTTGATGCCTTGTTTACAAATATGGACAATAATCATATCCATTGTTGTGATAATTGTGAACTACAATGAAAGTCTTCATCTCAAAAATGTTGCACTAATTGGTGGCTATGTTGGTATGTGATATCCATAGCGCTATCCTAATAACATTTTTCAATGAAGGTTGTTTATATCAGAGTGTTTGTTTAGAGGGAGAGAAATGTTATGACGGTAACTTATATTTTCCGTGATTATTGGTTAGACTCTTTGTTTGGAAGGTGTGTCAAAAAGAATGTTGAAGAAGAAATACTAATCTCTGGTCCTTACCAAAAACCGACATTGCAGTCTCTTCTTCCATCACACAGACCAGAAAATATTGATTGGTCTGATACAACTCTGCAATGCTTGATAAGAGCAACAATTCTGATGTCCAAGTGAGAACATTAATCATAGTGTTTACCTTGCAGACTAAGATAATTTTAATTATCGCTTAAAATTTTGAGTATTATTTTTCAAATTCTGTATTTATAATTAATGGTGCTCATATGTGAAGAAAGTTTACATTGTTATCTTGAGCTTTTATGCTTCTTATTATATGAGTTTGACTTGTATCTCTTAAAATCAGGAATATATCGCTCGAATGGTTTGAAAATATGGGTTTAATAAAGAAAACGACCTAGAGTTAAGTTTCGCCTGGAGGAGAAGCGTGTATTTCCATTTTGGCAGTCTTTTGACAATTGGCTGTAAATGTGTACTTAACAACTTCTATTCAAAATAAAGTGAGTCCAGACACAAAATATTACTTCCAAAACGAATATGTATTCACTTCAATACTAACACAAAACTATTTAAAAAAATAAATATTGGCGATTTGAGTTCGACAAAGTTCAACAATATCATCCCAAGGGATGAAAACGCATGAGTGACCTTCAGCTGACCTTTCATAAAAATGAGGAATTTTAGCACAAAAAAATGTACATTTACAAGAAAATGCATGAGAACACACTAAACAGGGTATCTTTCTCAGACATGACTTAAAAATACGTCACAGTAGTAATGAAGAGTATCAGCTACTAAGTTAGACCGATTTCCGTACATGTATTTACCAAATTTAAAAAAGGTGAGCTGTTTTTTGAATCGTGTATCTTTCTTATCCTATTGTGTGGTCTTCCCCAAAAGCACTCGGTTGAATTACTACTGTTTCCAGTAAAAGGATCGACGACCAAACAAACTAAAATAAATGATATCAATTCTAAATCTAACCCTAATCGTAACCCTAACCTTAATCCTGACCCTAATGCTAAACTTAACACTAACCCTGACATCAATCCTAACCCTAATTACAACCCGTATCCTAACCTTAATTATGACCTTAACCTAACCCCAATACTCACCTTAATCCTAATCCTAACTCCAACGAGCTATTAACGCAATGTCCAGACAGTATTTAAAAACGTGATCTGAGTGAAATTTGCTCCTAAGTTGGTGAATAAGGTTGATATTTCAATTATGATAATGACAGATGCTGTTAACCAACGACTAGCATGAGTACAAGGTCGACTGGAGCGGTCGCGCATCTGGGACGCTATTGTTGAACTTCGCCTTTGAGTTCAGCTTGTAATCATCAGAATCATCCATTATTCGTTCGAGGCACTACCGTACATTGTTTACCAGTGTTACGTTAATCACCGTTTCTGCACGAGTAAAAACCATCAGTTCAACTGCCAGTTGGTGATATGAAGTTTTGGATTCCGATTCCAGAAGTTGGCAGTAATCTAAACGTTTTCACATGGAAATCTTTGTTCTTAACTTTCACAGAAGTTACTCTGAGATAATTTGAAAAGAAACACTTGTGTAGGTCATCACCGAAATTTCCGAGTTCAAACGGTTGCTGAAATGAAAAAGATGTAGACACTACTACGGAAATAAGTAGAAGCTCCTAGATACTTTAGGAATTCAGTGGCTTTGGCATCGTTTAAGGGATTGTGCTGGAAGTATTGGTAAGCGCTAGGGATGGTCGACAGATGGTTAGATAAAATAGTATGTTCTTTTTGAAATATATCTGCTATAACAAAGAGTGGTCTTGATACCCATTCACTTAAGATATGTGTTTCAATGTAGAAACAACGAGATTTAGAATGACTTTATGTCCCACACATTGTTTTTCCTTGGTTGTTAGAATGGCTTTGTGCGGAAAATGGCATTATTTGAAAAGGCTAAATTTGAACAAAATGTTTTATGTGGAGTGGAGTAACAAACCTGCACTTGGCAGTTGGGGAAACTTTTACATCATTTACCCAACAGTTGTCGGGACATTTCACTATTGAGCTTAGTAAATACACTTTTAGGAATCAATATTTCACTTAAACAATCAATAGCGTTACTGTAACCAAACACCAGTTCTTCTTGTACACCAATATTGCTTAAGTATGCATTATCTATTACGAATGGGAAAATCACTGTATTGCTTGAAACACATGACCTTATTACAATGTTTCGATTTTTCATCTCATCATAGTGTTTGAGAGAATAGCTCATCGAGATCACCGTTCAGACCTTACTTAAGACTTACTTCGGCAACAGAGAAGACTTTAAGGAATTTCAGATAGCTTAACCACAGCTAGCAGATGTGTATATAGTTATTTATTGTCGTGAAATATTTTATGAGACCATATAGTAAACCGTTAAAAGTGAACTTGGTTTGGACATATATAACATATAGTAAGCCGTTTGAATTGTTTATAGTGAAATTTTTGTGGTAAATAACTGTATTTAAATGCAAGAAATATAGTGAATTTCAAGAGTCTGTCCAGGAAAGCTGTGGAAAAGTATATTTTAAGTAGTCTGACTTTAAGCAGAACAGCCGAAAAACACAAAAATGTTTTAACTTGATCCAAGAACTGTTTCACCTTGTCACTCAAATACAATAGTAAAGGTTCAAATCACACCATCAAGAAAAAATTTAGAAGGAAACGTCGAAAAGCATTAATTAACCAAATGATTATGGAAGGTTATTTTACATATTGAAGATTGTTCCATTCCCTTGACATAACGAAGGATAGTTTTAGGATGATTTTACTGGCAACCTTGTAAACTTATACTACATAATTGTTACACATATTCAGGTTGCAATAATTTAGGAATACCTCTATGTATCGCCGTCCTGTGGGCGTTACTCACACTGTAGAACAATTTGAGTTCTTACTGAATCACAAAATAATTATTTTGAATTTTGTAGGGCATTTCAAGTAACCTTTATGGGGAAATTTACCTGATGTAATCCAAGCAACACTACTTCTACTGAAGAAGCTCTGGTCTGAATGATGAGTTGTACTGGGATGGTGGACTATAAAGTGTGATAAAATACAGAAATGTCGACGGTGCATCTATACTGAGATAATCATATTCCATGTGTGGGTAGGCATTTTATTCTCACGCATGCACAGGTCTCAGTGTTAGATAAAATTTGCCTATGATAACTTGCAATAAAGCTGTGACATTTCAAAAATACCATTATTATATGGGCTCTTTAATCTGGAAATTTTCGAATCTTTAGATAATTCGTTCACCAGCTGAGGAGTACAAATTGTTTTGTTAATTTTATCCAGATATATTATCCTTTCGCTTTGTTCTAAAAGTGTGAAACTTTCATTACAGTCTTATCCTGCCCATGATTTGACTGTCGAACAAACACTCTATCGAATATAAATCGTTGGTTTCTGTTTCAGTAGGCATGGAAGCTATTTAGCTAAATTCGTATGTTCCATGATGGAAGCTACTTCAAAGTGTGATGTTTAGTATTTTTGTGACATCTCGGTCTCTCAAGTATTCATTTTGGCATTTGAAATCCCTGTTTTGCTACCGTGTGGAGCTTTACAGAGGGTTCTTCGCTGGTATTGGTTGTGCTTATAATACTCGTATTACTATTTACAGGCAGGCAGTAATACCTAGTTTGTGAGCACCCTCTGAAGCTATTTACAGTGTATGTTCGACTGATCACAGGGAATAGTAATACTTATCTCCGTTGGACCCTAGTTCCTGGCTAGATAATCTAGTCAGTGCTATGATACACCACTGTAATTATTTTTATCAACATACTGACTTTTGGTTTGATCAACACAGTAGTTATTTAACACACGATTTTCTCTGTGACCTCGTTTACTGAAAAGCTGAATTTCAGTAACAAACTCAGTGATTTTAGTGCAAATACTTGAAATCATAAATAAATTGGACACTTACAATTCCACAGTTAGATATCGTGGAACCAACTCGATTTGTTAAGAAGGAAGTAATGAATGTATTGATTGGTGTCGGATGTTTGTAACTGACTTAAGAGCAGTTGGTCACAATTTATGCATAGGTATTGCGTCGTTAACGTCTTTTAGACTAAAAGTAAGGTTCCAGCGATGCATATTTGTAACTCGAACGTGGCTTATGGCTATTTATACACAATGGGGTGAATTTTCCTATTACAAATTTAAAGCGCGATTATATGTGCCATATACCTTTCTTGAAGTGGAGCCGCCTGTTTCATCCTGTGGGTACTGCGAAGTTCCAATAATTAGACCAAACATAAACTCGTGATTCTATAAAAATTGAAGAAAATATGTTTATAGTTTGAACCTACTGCATCCTTGAATGAATTACACTGTGTAGATATCAGCATCAAGCGATATTTCCTGATAAGAGTTGAGTGAATGTGACGCAGTTCAAGAACATAATACCACAGGTAATATGTATGTCAGAAAACAATTCGCACAAAATTCCACCTAAAAAAGCATATAACTAGACACTAAGCCCCTATAGCAATGGACTACGGCGCCACAATTAACGGGGATATGCAATAAATCCAATCAAAACCCTCCATACGATACAAATAGTGATTAGCTAGGAAAGAAGGATTGAGAATGCACCAAGTAATCAGGGATATTTTGAGACAAATGTGAAGTGATGCATCCTGTATAATAAATATATTACAGATAAGATTAGTGTTCGTTAGTTCTTGAGCGTCTTTTATTTTTAAAGTAAAAGTGAGGCAGACAATTGTAATTCTCAAATTCACAACCGGCTCAGTCTAATTTTCAGTCATATTTTGCTTAGCCATTCCTTTATTCACTTCTACAGATAGGCAAGCGTAAAATACCTGCAAAATGTTCATTATGAATTCTTAGTTCATAAATATTATTCAGATACTTCTTTACACCGACAGGTTTTCACCAACTGAGATACGCTGCACATGATTCCTGTTTGCTTGAGGTATTTTTTGCTACACTTAAAGTTCATGGAGAAATCTTCTAATTAATTATACAAGTGCTGATTTCATCTATACACTTTTGTTCTTACAGGACAGTTTATCTGCTTTTTCAATATGGACATTGCGGCTAAGTTGAACAATAATGGAGGCATCAAAAAAGCAAAATTTACTTATGTCACATATATTTGAGACAAGGAACGCGATTATCACTGATAAATGGGACTGTAACATTTTGGCGTCGTTTTACTTGTAGGAGGAGAAATTTTGTTTGCTTGTTTGTTTCAGGCCAAGCTGAGAGAGCGAACAATGCATGTTACCAATTGATATAGTTAGTTGGAACAACAACCATTCTTGTCAGTCAGATCGAGAATATCTAACGATCAGACTGCTATTTCTGAATAAGCAAAACATAGTCCTGGCATGTAGATCGTCTAGTGAGGAATTCTTCTTAAAGCAAGTTAACACTGAGTAGCTATTGCAAATAAAATGAGAAGTTTTGTTGCAGTAGAATTCCAACCAGCTACTTCGAATTATTAGCTTACAGAATGGGCTACTAGACCCAGTTTGGTATACTTGAGGTCAGGTAAACTGTGAATATTCTTAGTCAAAAGATGTATTAGACTATTTAGAGCTTGTAAAACATGCTATGGTCCAGCATGGAAGCCATTTTTAGGCTTATTTCTTTGTACATCACAGTTCTCCTCCCACTCAGGCTTATTGGTTTTTCGCTGAAAACAACGTCTAATGAATGAATGTCTTCACTTGTTTTTCATAGATCACAATAAATTTTCACTTTTCTGATATGTATTTATTGTTAGTAGAATAAAGCAAACGGCTTCAGCCACTAAATGCACCATCCATTGTTTCATAAATTCTTCATATCGGCTACTAGTATTCATCGAGGAGTGCATAAATAAATGTAGGAGTCATGAGACAATATATTAATTGACATACTCTGACATTGTGATGACATCAATCAGGATAAATTTCATCCTCATTCAGGCTTATTTTCATTTTTATTCATAGTTCTATGAAAATATTGTAGATGACCTTTTAAATAGCTTTGTGTGATAATTAATTACTTTCACCCAATTTTATCTGGGATACTTACAGGAAGACATTCGTCATCATGTAATATAATATGAGATGAAGTGAGGTGTATGAAACACTAGACTATTGTTCTTATTTTGTCAACAGCTAAAACTTATTTAGAATACTTCTCATTATCTTCATGTTTTAATGCTCTTTGGTCATTCTTCAAATGTAAGTATACTTTAGCACTCCGTGATTATTTCAAAAGTTGTATTGTTATAAAAATGGTATATATATTAGGGTAGAGCCAGAGATGAAGATCTAATTGAAAAGTAAATATTTCCTCACTCAATCTTTCTGTTTTATCTATATCAAAAGTGTACAAAAAGTCCAGTGCAGCGTAATACAACTGAAGTCGTACTTTTCCTTACAGTTAGACGTGCTGTAGATTTCTAGAAATTTAGATGATTTCCACCTAGCATTTACAGGACCAAGTTGATCAGTTTCTTTTGACACTTGGAAGATCTGTACAGACTTCTGCATGCATATAACAAGTGAGTTTCATAAAGGAGGAAACAAACTGCTTATATTTAACTCCTGAACGTTAGTGGATATGGGAGTGAAATTTCAGTGCAGGCATTCTTGTATCATTTTTAGTTAAAGCTCATATTCCAAAAGTTCTATAAAACAATGTTGGAAAAACCCAAAATTCCCAATGTAACCAGACAACCAGTTGATGTCTTATTTGACTAGGCTATTCGATAAGACTTTGGCCTTTTTAGCATCCTGGTTATGGATAAATAATCAAGATTTTAGGGCAGTTATTGGCCTATGTGATGTTTTACTGCTAAAACACCAGGTGACTGTTTTTTGTACTACAGGACTGTCAGACAGATGTTTTGAGAAAAGCTAGTTTACAGAGTCAATAAAAAGAATGTATTAACATCCACTATAACGTTTACTTCACTGTGAATTGTTTACAAAATATGTCATTAATTTGAAAGGATTATCGTAAGAGAGCCTCTGTATGGGATGCAGAAATATTACTCATTGCCTTGAAAATAAGTCAAAAAATTCCTTTCCCATAGAGCAGTAATCTGTCCTCATTTATTACTTTAGTAAGTATTATAATATGCCTTGTTATGAAAGTAAAGGCCATTAGTGGGTTTTATCACCAATCAGGATTTATCTTGAAACACTACCACTTTTCCTATACATTTATTTTGACTAGGTTATTCTTATAAACTTCAGCTTAGACAGATCCAGGAAGATCTGTTGAACAATTCATGTAAAATGTATGGGACCAAAGCTACCGTTAACTTCAACCAGACAGGAACCCATTTGGTGGTAGCTAAGTTTAGCAGTATGAACAGTGAGCTCCAATCCGTAAGTTTGAGAGGCACTTAATTGGGTCATGCAATGACATAGCTTTTCTTCAGACGGTGAACGTTACTACCTCACATTTAGAGAGGTCATCGGAGGTAGGCTTCACTCTTTAAAGATATCTCATTATTATAATCTATTTTGTGTTTGCATAAATAAGCGGCTTGAATAGAGTTAATGTACTGCTGTTTCCTTTGATATTAGATGTTTCCCTGCTTTTACTTTGGTTACTTATTGTATTAAAAAATTCTGTTAAATAAATTTGATATGATATCTACGCTTAACGTTTTTATTTCTCTGTTTTTTTTAATGCAAAGAACTGAGACAAACTTTGTTGATGCAAAATCGTTTTGTTTAAATGGACATAATGAAGATGTTGCTGAAGACTTAATACTTAGTCGATATGACAACTATGACAGTAACGAGAAAGTAGATAAAGAACTCATCCATATACTACCTACTCTATTAATATCACCATCTTTACACTCCTCGACACCTATCAAGAATAATGCTATTGATGATCAATTCAAACGGCAGTATGTAAAACGTAAAGCCCCAATAAATCGAGCATATCCAAACTATATATTTAATAACCCCCTGGAAACACCAAGCTCTTATTATGAGCCATTGCCTAGAACCATTGGTGAAAATTATGACCAGTGGACGGATGCTTATGGTAAAAATGAAGCAATAAATACAGAAATGTATAATGAAAATCAAATGAACGATTTCAGTCAACGAATTCAACAAATGATACCTTTGTCGGAAAATTTAAGAGGAGAAGAGTCAAACTATGAGAATAAGCAAGTTGATAGACATCAATTAATGGATGATACATCACAGAGAAAAGATAATGAGATAATAACGGAGCCGAAATTATATCAATATTACAATCTAATACCAGATAGTAAGTTATTTTGTTGTATGATAAGAACAATTCACTTTGTGAGTGCATAGATTTCAGGCTGAATGAGTATGAAAGTCAAAGGAGTTTGCGAAACTGGTTGAAATTATTTTGGTGAACATGTTGTAACAATAAGCAATAACATAAAAATCCTTCCCATTGTCATCTGTACTTTGTAATTTAAACAATGCTGTAACCACTCATTGTCGTCATTAGGCTTTTTATTTCACTCCGAACTTCTAAAAGTATGTTTCATTTGATAATGAGTCCAGTGGTCTGTAAACAGTCGAATGGTTATAACGTACTTTTCATCTTAAGTTAATAATAAATAGAAACACTTTCAGAGTATTTCTGGACATTTGAAATCATATAAGTCTTAAACGAACACAGATACCAATGTACATCATTTAGCGGTAACTAACATGGATCTTCTAAGTGAAGAAATTAAAACTCTTTAACAGTCTGAATCTAATTTATTGGCTGAATAACAATCTGTTTACCATTTGACGTTTTAATTTTCGCACCTAAAGACAACGATGAAACTGAGACTACAGATTGACGTCAACTGTGCGTCGGCGGCACAGTGGTTAGGACTCTCGCCGACCACGCACATGGTCCGAGGTTCGATCCCCTGCCGACGCACACCTGATACCTATGGTCGGCCTGCAAAATTTGGGCTACCGATATCCATGCTGAAAATTCCATACCTGTAAGAAAATACAGTGTGGAATCAAGCTGTAAATCAAAATTAAAATATCAAAAAAAATAACTCGAATCTATCTAAATCCTCGAAAGACAACACTTGATATTTTTATTTGACCTCAAAGTAAGTCCTTAATTTATCGTAATATATGGCAGACAGACTAGCACAAAACAGTCTTCGTGTTCTGCTTTGTAGAGAGGGGACGAAAAACATACTTATGAGTATTAATAACCCTTTAATCTTTGAACAGTGATGTAAATACTACTGAAACACAAAAGTCAGTAGTATACGAACATATACAAAAATGGTAGTGAGTATTGTGAACGCAGTTGGTAATTTATTACAATTTTCACGCTATCAGGTTCATAGACTTAACTGGTGTAGTTATAACATTTGTTAAGACAGGTATAAGCTGAAATCTATGCGGAAACCAGTGGATGTTACCGCACAGTTCATTAATAATTTAGTGTTTAAATCTTCAGCTTACATTTTATATCTAACGGATAACATTACTACTATCTCCATGTTTTTGTTTTCCTAAAGTATTTGATGCACCGCTTCAGTAATGTTTCCTGCCGAATAAGCATACAGGATTCAGTTTTCTTTTAAAACTGACTAATTCTACAGGCTTCAACTTCCAATCAGAACTTTATAAAATGTATCTAGAATTATTGAACAACAAACAATGAACTTTATTAAAAGTTGATGCATGTTAATTTTAGTTTTACATGTTTCATCTGAATAAATTAAATAAATGAATAAAGACCAGCTACCACGTTATGATGTATAGAAGGTTGAAAAGTGTTTATCACTGAAATTTATTACCCTGGTTCAGAAGTCCCTGTTTTCTGCAACAAAAAAGAAACGAATGATAAGGAAGAGGACTCATTTTCAATACCGATTTAGCATCTCAGAGAAAATGCTGTCTGAAGTATCTACACTGGAAACAGTTACTCCTAGGATATAATTTTGTATCATAATTACGTCAAGCAATAGATGAGTTAGTTAGAAACATTAAAATCCTGTTATGAATATGCGTGATGAATCGATATACACAATGCGTCTATATACAAAAGATTCTATGATGAATTGGTCAAATTAAGCTTAGTGGATGAGATTACTATGACAAATACAGTGTAGGCAGACAGATGAGTTAAACCAGTAACAATCATGTAGGCGTTATATTACTTTTCCTATTTCTTCTCTCATTTTTCCACTTCTCTGTTTTTCTCTTTCTCTCTCTCTCTGTCCTAATAACTCTCCCTTTTCCTCTCTTCCCTACCACTTTATCTTTTCTCATGTTTACGCAAATAAAACTCCTAAATAAATTATTTACAAGGTCCTTTAGCCACATATTCTTCTAAAAATAACAATAGACAATACTGGGGACTACTAAGGTTTCATGAAAGATATGTCACATGCCTGATAAAATAAAAATCAATAAACTCAAACAAAAGTTACCCTTGTAAGCATACTCTTCTCATGAGTCACAAAAGACTTTTAATGTTACTCCTTTTTCTGATTACATGTGAGTAAATTAAAGAACTCAATAAGGAACCATTGGAAAGCTCTATATTAGTTATTGTAAATTCTTTTGTAGCAACGTGTATATCTTATCTGTAAGTCAAATAAATTTAGAAACGGTGAATATACAGACATTGTAATCTTTGTCAGTTTATATTTTTAGATGGTAATAAACATTTGGGAAACTGATAAAGACATTAGTATTAGTTAGCAAGCATTTGCTTTTGCGCACTTTATATTGGGCTGAATAGTTAGAAAACTGCAGTAAGGATTCAGTTACATCATAGACTTACATAGAGTGAAGTAGACATTTGAGGAATATCAAGGTTCATTGCATGTTTTCGAAAATGATTTTAGAATAAACCACTAATTTTAGTTGAACATATTAGGACTTTTAAAGAATAACCGAGAAAATATGAGTTTAATTAACGTGTCATGTGTTCATACTCGCAAATTGTGTTATGCTCAGTCAATCAACAGGAAAATCAAAAGTGAATTAAATAATAACTGATACTAGTTGCACATGAGGTTGCTTTCGAGACCCAAGTGATCTGCTGGATAACGCTTTGGCGTTTGAAATGATGGGTACTGTGTTCGAGCCCTAATGGGAACACCATCACTCACTGGGGAATGTAGATAATTCCAGATGACAAATTCCAAATAGAACGAAATGCACATCCTAGATTTCACTACGAGTCACCATCTACCAAATTATTATTTTTTATTGTTCCTTTGGGTTCCTAGTGGAACATAGGGCTTCAACTGCACGTCTCCACTTGCTTCTGTCTTCTGCTGTGCTTTTCAACTGCGTCCATGTTAGTCCATACTGTTTCAACTCCTCTTCACACGATCTCCTCCATGTGATACTTGGACTGACGTCCCACTCGCCGCTTCCTTTCGGCTTGGTTCCACTAGAGCAATGGCTTGACGCGCTATTTCACCAACCGGCCTCCTCAATGAGTGTCCAATCCATCTCCACTTTCTCCTGCATATTTGTTTGGCGATTGGTTCTTGTTTTGTTCGTGTGGTCCCATAGTTTCTTGTTGGTGATTCTTTCCGGCCTGGCCATCTGATCTTCAGTATAGAACCAGAGAAGACAGTTGTTGATGAAGGTCTGGTCTGCAACAGGCAGTTAGAAATATTCTTTGTGACCCGCCGCCAAGTTTCTGATCCAAATAGAAGAACTGACTTGACGTTGTTTGTGTTGAAAATCCGACCGAATTTTGTTGTTGATGCTGGCTGAGTGACGAAGATTTCCAGATTGGTTTCAGGTTGATGAATGTGTTTCTCACCTTCCCGATTCTCGCTCGATTTGACATCCTCGTCCGTTCCGACTTCCTGTAGTTGAGACAATGCTCCCTAGACAAGTGAATGAAGTAATCTCTTTCAAATCCCTCCCGTTGATGGTGATTGGTGTTGGATGTAGCTGCTGTTGTCGTTGGTTGGTTGTTTGGTTATTTTCATAACCTCCGTCTTGTCTATATTCACATGGAGTCCTGTCTTTGCTGCTTCTTCGACAAGTTTGTCAGTTTTCGCTTGTAAGTCTTCGATTCTGTGTGACATCAAACATAAATCATCCACGTGCGAAATCCAGGTCTTCTACGTTCTTCACGTCGGTCCAAGATATCCCTGTCTTCTCGTTTCCCACTGTCTGATGCATAATCAAGTCCACCACAATTAGGAATATTATTATCTACCAAATTAATTCAAGTTTAATCCTCAGACATTGTCGAAGCATCCACACAGGGAGCTGACTTGTAAACAGAGGCTGAACACTTCGGTTCAATCAATCAACAGGAAAATTCGAACTGCATCGCACAGAAGTTTCATTGAATATGTTGAATCTGCGACTTAACTATAGCAATATACCTTCTTAATCATTTCCCATTAAAGCTCTGATTTAACTTCTTTTGTAAGTGCATATAATTTTATTTTATTATTTTTTTATTTTTGATTTACAGCTTGATTCCACACTGTATTTTCGGTACAAGTATGGAATTTTCAGCATGGATATCGGTAGCCCAAATTTTGCAGGCCGACCATAGGTATCAGTTGTGCATCGGTGCGGGCTCGAACCCCGGACCATATGCATGGTCGGCGAGAGTCCTAACCACTGTGCCACCGACGCAGTTTATTAAGTTGCATAAACCTTCACCTAAATGATTTTCATGGTGATCTGGTTATATTTTATATCACTTGTTCAATATTGTTCGGTAGAACTGTAAATAGTTTAGTCCTATCCCTCAGATATCAGTGAAGTTAACCTGAATGATTTTATGATCAGCATTTTTATGTTCAGTCCACACGTGAAAGCAAGTTTCTGAAAACCAACTTCTGACCAGTGTGTGAAGAGCGAATTTCGGTGGATACTATTTAAAAAGGACAATATTTTAAAGCGAATACTAATCCTGCAGATATAACAATCGATACAAAGCTTATCAAACTAATTTCTCAATTTCTTCACTTCATATTTTCATAATAGTGTGCAATTTTAATTTCAGATATCGTTTCAATACTGTCTTTTTTCGTGTAGTAAGGATATTTTGTGTTGAATGAAGCTGATTATGTTAAAATTTAGCAAAATTTTTGGGATTTAAAAACAAGAATGAATCATTTTTATGGTGCTGTGTTATAACGGTAGGGTATTGAATGAAGACGTTTTCACCTTATTCTGTCTGCGCCTGAACTAATCTGCCTATCTGCTCGTCGTACCTTCCGACTTAGTAAAGCACGCAAATATCAAAAGACAAAGGCTGGACTGTGACTGTGTATTGAAGTGCAACAACGATAAAGAAAGCCATGGTATTTATACATTTTACAACAATATGGACAGCTAACAGCATTTGAAATAATTTATCTTAATAGCCAATAACAAAGTGCGTGAGAGATGATAATATACCATATGTGCGAGGTTGACAGTCAGTAACAAAATGTGTGGGAATGATAATATACCATATATACAAAATTAGCAGTCACTACCAAAATGTGTGAGAATGATAATATACCATATATACAAGATTATTAGCAGTCAATACCAAAATGTGTGAGAATGATAACATACCATATATGCAAGTTTAAACAGTCAATACCAAAATATGTGGGATCCTATCACCTCCCCCGTAAAGAGTGTAGGACTTGCTTTTTGGATCTATTTGAAAAGGTTTCGGAGCTCTTCTTTGTCGAGTTGACCTTCGCATGGTACTGGATAGAGTGTGATCTGTGTCCCGGGCTTCCGGCTGCGGAAGATTAAATGTATCTACTAATACTTCTAACGTGAGGTCTCGTCTCCCATTGTCAAGTCTATCTGACGCATCTCGTATATGATTCGTGTGTCTGACACATAACTGTCCTTCTACATTCACTTTGTATAAAACCCTTCCTTTCTGCCCCACTATTTGTCCTCGAATCCATCTCGGAGGTGAATAGCGAAAATCTCGTACATAAACTTGCTGATACAATTTGAAAACTCGACGTTTAGCTCCGTGATGGCGATTGAATTGGTTTTCCATTTTTGTATTTCTGCAGCCCTGCTTTACTTGCCTAGGCTTAATTGAGTCGAGGGCAGTTCTGATCTTTCGGCCAAATATAATTTCCGCTGGGGATAACTGATTTGGGGCGGAAGGATTTGGCGTCGTACGATAATGCAGCAAGAATCTATCCAAAATTTCTTCTGTTGTTCCCTCCCCCTTCGCTTTTGCATAAGCACGCTTAAAAGTGTCGACGAAACGTTCAGCCTGTCCATTCGATTGGGGATGATACGGGGGGCTACGAATATGCTGGATGCCAAACTGTTTGCAGAAATCTGAGAACAGTGATGAGGTGAACTGCGATCCATTATCGGACACCAGAACATCAGGCATACCAAAACGACAGAATAGTTGACGTAGGTGGGACACTGTTGCAATTGATGTGGCAGAATGCATAGGAAATATCTCTGGCCATTTGGAAAACGCGTCGACACATATTAAGAAATGCATACTATTGAACGGTCCAGCGAAGTCAACATGAACACGGGACCATGGTTTGTCCGGTCGTGGCCAGGAACATAGTTCTGTCTTGCGTGGACACTTTGATGCTTGAGCACATTTACTACACTTGCGAACGAGGTCTTCGATATGGTCATCGATGTTGGGCCAGTAAACATAACTGCGAGCGATCGCCTTCATTCTCCCAACACCAGGATGTGATATATGAAGCTGCCGAAGCACATGGTCACGAAGATTAGCTGGAACCACAACACGATCAGCAAACATTATGCATTCATTAACGATGGATAGGGATTGGCGTCGCTGGTAAAACTGTTTTAAAACATTTGAATGAACATGTGGAGGCCAGCCAAATCGGATGAACTTTGATACTTGCTGTAAAACTGGATCACGCAGTGTGTGTCTGGCAACCTCAACTGCAGTCACCGGAAGAAGTTGAGTCGCGCCTACCAGAACTCTGTTTACATCATCTTCAACAGAGATGGATGCAATAACAACATCCTCGCTTTCCAACTTCTGATGGCTTAGCAGCCGTGATAATGCATCTACCTGGCCAAATTCAGAGGTAGGTTTGTATTTGATATCAAAATTATATCCCAGTAACATGACAGCCCACCTTTGAAGCCGATTCGCAGTGTACACTGGAACGCCCTTTTTCGAACCAAATATCGATAACAGGGGTTTATGGTCAGTAAATAGGGTGAATTTCCTACCATGAAGCATTTTGTGAAACTTTTTGACTGCGAAGATAAGCGCCAAACCTTCTTTCTCAATTTGGCTATATTTGCGTTCGGTTGTATTCAGTGTTCTAGATGCATGTGCAATAGCTTTCTCCCTTCCGTCAGGAAAACGATGAGATATAACAGCACCAATACCATAGTCGGATGCATCTGCAGCAAGGATGATTTCAAGACTTGGATCATAATAAGTAAGCAGCATGTCTGACTGGAGTAACGATTTTACTTTTTTAAATGCATTTTGACATTCAGGTGACCAATTCCATTTTGCATTTTTCGATAACAGGCGATTCAGTGGAGCACGTATGTGATGAAGCTCTGGTAGAAATGCACTGTAATAGCTGATGAGGCCAAGGAAAGATCGCAGAGTGGCAACATTGGTGGGAGCGGGCATATTCTGAATAGCACGTACATTTTCTGGGTCTGGTCGACGTCCATGTTGATCGAAAATGAACCCAAGATACTTTACTGAATCCATGAAAAATGTACATTTATCCTCTTTAAGGTAGAACCCAAACTCTGACATTTTGGATAGCACAGCGTCAAGTCGATCAAACAATTCAGACTTACTACTCCCTGTGATTATCACATCGTCGAGGTAGACAGCAACACCAGGTTGGTTAGCAAGCATAGTATCCATGATCTGCTGAAAAATTGCGGGTGCTGGTTTCAC